CGGTTTGAAGCAGCTTGACTTCAACAAGAGAGTTTTAGGGATTTACTGGGATTACTTGGAACAATGAACTATCGACTCCTAAGGCCCTAAAACAGCTGAGATTAAGACTTCTACGATGGAATAAAGAGGTATTTGGTGATGTGCAGTGGCGGAAGGATGCTTTGTTGCAAGATATAAAAATAGTTTAAGACACGTTTGAGATTTCACAAAAGAATGCTCTATTGCAAGATGAATAAAATCTTATAAAAGAGCTTGAGGTTGTTTTAGAAAAAGAAGAGCTGATATGGTACCATAAGTCTCGGGAGAAGGTTCTAATGTTTGGGGATAGAAATACTAGGTTCTTTCATACTTCTACTATTATTCGAAGAGGGCAAAATAGAATAGAAATGCTTCGAGGAGAGGGCAAAATAGAATAGAAATGCTTTGAAAAATTAAATTAATAGTGGTGTTTTCGAAAAAACTTGCAACTGTAACATTTTGAGGAATTTTTCAAATCAAAACATATGGGTTGTGTTGTCACAAAATAATATCAAGATAATTTGTCTACAAGTATTTTCAACAATTCTCACATCCATGTTTTCTTTTTCCCTTTTATTACTTAGGTTCACTGTATTTTGTTGTGATGGGCATGTGTTATCGGATCGGCCCGTACATACGAGAAGGCCTAATCCACGTTACTTGGATTAGAAGTCAATGATTTTAATGTTGTATGTTTTCTGTTTTGGTTTTGGGTTCTTTTGGATAGTTACGTTTTAGGATTGGTGTTATATCTTTTAATCTCTCCTTATCCTCCTAGGACTCAATATTTCTAATTCTTGTAATGTTTTAATATATATATCAAAGAAAAGCCAAAAAGAGGTAGTCATAACTACCCATGAAAACAAATCTTGTGTTGTGTTCTTGAGAAACTCTAAACTTTGACTCATTAATTGGTATCTAAAGCCAGCAGTTTTTGACTTAGAGGTTTTTCATAAAACTAATAAGTAAAAGGAAGGAGTTAGCTTGATTCGGACCGCATCTATGGTGTCAAGTTATCACGGGTACAAACAAAGAAAGAATTGAAGAGTTAGAGTCAAGCATGACAGACATCCGTGGCAATTTTCTTAAGCTTAACGAGGACATAGCTGACAAATTTCACCAGATGGAGGAGTCATTGAATCGCTTGACAGACACGTTCTCTAAGGAACGTGTCGGTGATGGATGGAAGTACGGCTCGTAGTGGACCGAGAGGAGCAGATCAAAAGCGCCAGCTACAGCATCGCGGCGACGACTTCAATCCGGTAGCGCCTTCGAGAGGCGTGAAACTTGATTTTCCACGTTTCAAGGGAGGAGATCCAACATCTTGGTTTAGCAAATCAATCAATACTTTGAATACAATAGTACACCTATTGATCAAAAGGTACGGTTGAAAGATGAGCAGCTGCGGGAGAGTGGTTATTTACATTTGCAGCCTGAAAGCGTGCTCCGCAAGCGACTGGTTCATGTAGGCGGCAAGGCACATTCCGAATTGTTGATCAAATGGAGAGGTTTGTGTAATGAGGATGCTATGAGGGAAGACGAGGAGGAAGTGAGAGCCAGCTTCCCGGACTTTGGTCCTAACCTTGAGGACAAGTTATTCTTCGGGGGGAGGGTATAGATGGGCATGTGTTATCGGATCGGCCCGTACGTAAGAGAAGGCCTAATCCACGTTACTTGGATTAGAAGTCAATGGTTTTTTGGTGTTTTATGTTTTCGGTTTTGGTTTTGGGTTCTTTTGGATAATTACGTTTTAGGATTGTTGTTTTCTCTTTTTTTTTTTTTTGTCATTAGGTGTTATCTCTTTTAATCTCTCCTTATCCTTCTAGGACTCAATAGTTCTAATTCTTGTAATGTTTTATTATATATATCAATGAAAAGCCAAGAAGAGGTACTCATAACTACCCATTAAAACAAATCTTGTGTTGTGTTCTTGAGAAACTCTAGACTTGGACCTATTTTGTTGCCCCAACTTGTTTATCACTCACTGACTTTCTCGAATGCATAATTTCAAGCATCCTGTTCCAACCAGCCAACCTATACTTTGATCAACGTGGAAACTTTGGTGGCCGTGGACTCTGGTTGAAAGCTTATAGATAGTTGATTATTTTGGGTAATGTTATCAGTTTTTAATAGTGCCTAGTAGGGTGAAATAGTTGGATTAAAAACAACAAGAATGGGAGATCAATGTTTTGAGGCAAGCTCTAGAAGAAAACATGAGTCAAGGTGTTGATAATCATGATGAGATCAACAAGATCAACCAGAAACTGACCAAATGTTACCAGAATGAGGATGCCTTTTGGAAACAGAGGTGCATACAACTTTGGTTGGCCTTTGGGGACAAAAAATCATGGTATTTCCACACAGCTACCAAAGGAAGAAGAGCTATGAACAATATTTCTATGATGGAATCTGCAGATGGTATTTCAGTTTTTGAAGAAAAAGATATTATAAAAGCTATCATAGACTTCTATCAACAAATGTTTACCTCCCAAGAAGGTGACATACACTCTTTGGTTCTCTCCGCCCTTCAACCATGTGTAACACCAGAAATGAATTTCTTGGAATTTTTTGGAATTCATGGAATCGAATGACAAAATCTTTCTGAGATGGTAGAGTTGGGTACAATGATATTAGTACCTTCAATGATGCCCTTCTTGCTAAACTAAGTTAGAGAATCCTCAAAAAACCATCTTGCCTTCTGGCCAAAGTTATTTTGGGAAAGTACTATAACAGCTCCGATAACCTAGAATATCGAGTTCTAAGTTCCGCTTCTCATGGCCAGCGCAGCATCTGCCTTAGTAGAATCATTGGATCGGGTATGTAGCTTTGTATCTGTGTGGCATAGTTCTTGGCTCTGCTTAGCATCCCCACATCAACCAATGAGACCTCCAACCAAGGAATCCCAAGATTTAAAAGTCTCCGACTCAATGATCACAGATTCTTTGGAATGGAACAAGGACCTGCTCAAAACCTTTCTACCAGCTTATATCGAAGAGATTCTTCTGTTTCGGCCAAGCGAGAAAGGTACTCTAGATATGTGGGCATGGCTCCCAAATTCTTTTGGTGTATATACTACAAAATCTGGCTACTACGAAGCCTTAGCAGACACATTAGTTTCAGAGGACCACATGTGCAAAATCTAAATCCCATAGATAGTTTAAATTGGTGCTATGTTATTAAAAGCTCCCCAAAAACTAAACATCTTATCTGGAAAATGGCTCAAAATGCTTTACATGTGGGACAAAACCTTATCAAGAGGCAAGTCTATTAACAGCTTTGTGTCCCCATTGCGGAGCTTCAAAGTCAACTCTCCACTTGTTCTTCCATTGCCTATATGCTGCAAAAGTTTGAGATTCCACCCCGTTCAGTTTGGATCTGAAAGTTACATAATTAATATCGATCCATGATGCCTTAACTAAGGTAAACAAGTTGACCTGCCTTTCCCCTTCAGGAGTTACCCTTCCTCTAGCGCTGTGGATTTTGTGGATGATCTGGTCGCCGAGATTCTCCCAACCGATAAGGGAAAAATAATGGAAGGAGGCCCAAGCTCCTCCGCAGAAGTCCTGAAAACGTCTCAACTATCCAAAGAACGAATTCACCACCTCCAAAGCTCCAACCATAAACCCTAACACTCAAACATGCAATAACAGCAACCGAAACACATAAACATTTCCACAAAAAATATCTAGCCATCTAATCGACCAAATACACATCAGCAGGGTTAAACATGCTTTGATCAACCATGGTCACGCACTATCTTTGATATGGATTGAAAGGAAGGAAAAAACAGAGAAGAAACAGCAAGAACAAGACCCTTCTTGCTTTAACAGCCATGAATCTCCTCAAACCTTTGCTTGCAACACCAAGAAACAGTAAAAAAACCTCTAGAAACTCTTTTTTAAGCCTCTTAAGTCAACTATCAAGTTCTCTCTCTATCAGAACTCACCGAAAGCGACAGTAGATAAAAACTGACCCAAAAGAATGGCTGCTCGAGTTTTAACATGACTTAGGGTTTCATCTCAATCAATTCCAAGTCAAACCGACGATTTAAAACTAAACCGTTCAAACCAAAATTTATGGTCTCGATCGACACTGTCCCAAAAACAGTTTACAGGCGTTCCAGCCATAAAGAATCACCCCAAGTTGCCGGTACATATTTCATTCTTTTATACTGATTCCTAGCTATATAGACATACTCGTATATAAACAAATCCTATCGATAGTAATCTTTGCCTTATAATTCACTACAAGAAAACAAACATTTTATGACCCCCACAAGCGTCCTAAAAGGGTGGCAAAACAGCTATTAGAAATTATATTTTACAAAGCAATCCTTAAAAATTACTTTACATTGAAATTACTCATCTTCAGAAACTTCATCTTCACCGACTAATTTGTGACTATACCAAACAGCGTCTCAATAGTTAGTTGTACCGAACTTTCACATTTTCAACGTTCGTAACGAGATTTTACTACCTCTTTCCCACTAATCTGTGACAACTAGATGAAGTTGCAACCCCGTCGCTCTTTTGTGAATTATTTGCGACTACTTCTGCCGACTATTAAAAGCATCACAAATTAGTCTCTCATAGCGACCCTTTCCCGACTACTTTTGTTTAGTCGCATAATAGTTGCCAAACAGAAGCAAATATGAGATGTTTTCGAGACTTTAAATGTTCGTCGTTACTTACCAACGGTTTTCCATCCAGATGTGCTATAGTTGCTTATTTGCCGTAAAATGGTCACTATAGCGTCGCTCTTTTTTGCGACCCAGAAAAGAGTCACAACAAGTAGTCCCAAAACACATGTTTTCTATAAGCTGAGATATATAAACTTTCAAATCCATAGTTTGGGGAAACTTTGAGATGCCACAAGTGTAGTGGATTCATTTAAATCTGTTTCAATACAATTTATTGAGTTTATTAGACATTTAAAAATGAAGAACAAGTATATTGATTTTTAAAGTGTAAAAACAACATCAAAAGAAGCAAACGCACAACAAAGAATGCACTTGGTTTATAACCACATTAATACATTTCATGTATGACAATTTAGAAAGAGATATATTTATTCCATAACTATAATAGATGATAAACGAAACTGTCATGATATGTTTGTTTAGTATATTGGAGGAGAACTATAGCTTGGAGGCTTGTAAACATATGGAGGAGAGCTGTAGACATAAGGAGGAGGTGATGGTGGAGGCTTGTAAACGTATGGAGGAGAGCTGTAGACATAAGGAGGAGGTGATGGTGGAGGCTTGTAAACGTATGGAGGAGAGCTGTAGACGTAGGGAGGAGGAGTTGGTGGCTTATACTCATATGGAGGAGGGCTGTAGACGTAAGGGGGAGGGGTTGGTGGCTTGTAGACATATGGAGGAGGGCTGTAGACGTAAGGAGGAGGTGTTGGTGGCTTGTAGACATATGGAGGAGGGCTGTAAACGTAGGGAGGAGGTGTTGGTGGCTTGTAAACATATGGAGGAGGGCTGTAAACGTAGGGAGGAGGTGTTGGTGGTTTG